TCCCTCCCTTCTGCACCTAGCACAGTACTCTACACACAGTCAACACTTCATGAATTATTTTTGTGAAAGGAAGAAAGGAAGGGAGAAAGGGAGGGAGGGAAAGAGAGAAAAGAAAACAGAATGGATAGGAGGGATGGAGGGAGGAAGGAAGAAGGAGATGAAGCCTAAAGTACTACAATATATGAACTTGTGAGACTGATTTGTTAAATCCAGGATTAACAGTCTTGTTAATGAGAACTGTCTACTCTAAAGAGGTCTCCTTAGCAGTTATGGCCTCTTTCTTAACATATGGTTTGGATCATTTTTCCTTGTGGATGGTCTTTTGAGTTCAAAAAATCTTTCTCTAAATGGGCCCAGTGGTAATAAATCTTTATCCTTTGAGGGTGGATTTATTTTAGGAAGCAAACACAAATCAGTCGGAACCATCTTTAGAGACTGGAGTAGGTGATCACTGGGCCACAATGAATAGGTTAGAAACATGATGTGCCTGACCATGAAGTCCAAATTGATTTCCTTGTATGATTTATGGATTGACCCTCAGAACAGTCTGAACAAGGGCAACGTCATGTGAATCAGTATCTAGTATCCCAAAGAGATGTCTTTAAAGGACAATTTTCATTTAGTGTGCAAATTCTAACACAGAAAAGCACATGCAGATTTATTATGTTGCTCCTATCATTTGGAAAGTGTTTGAGGGATACTTCTTGAAACAGTACCTGTCTTCATTTTTGCTAGAGCATTTCTTCATTCTCTTGTGAATCAAAATGCCCAAAACTTATATGTGCAAATGAGGTGTTTTTTTTTAACTAAGATGCAAAATTTGTTCCTACTATTTTGCCAGAGTATAGCTCATCTAGTAGCTCTAGTAGAGTGTAAACTCCTTGAGGGCAGGAGCTATTTCACTTTTGTCTTTGAATTCCCAAGTACCCAGGACAGTACCTTCCAAATACAGCCTTAGGAATTTAACACATCTTTATTGAATTGGTCTGGGAGTCAAAAAGTAACCTGGCAATTAGCTCAGAAATGAGTTCGGCACTTTAGCTTGTGAATGTCAAAGGAGCAACTCTGCACTTTACATTTGCAACTGTACCTCAGATTCTGTTCTAGATTCCAGATTGGGGTGTCTCAGCCTTGTGGATAAATAGGGAATGTGTCCTATCCTGGGATTAAACAGTTTCTTGCTCCTGGATCCTGACCTTCAAATAAAAGTGTGTCATTATACCTTAAGTAGAGAATTTCATGTGCCCAAGCACAACTGTAAAACAAAACAAAACAAAACAGAACAAAACAAAACAAAAGAAATGCCTTAGTCAGGACCATGGATAGAGCTGACCAACCTTATTCTATCCCAGCTCTGACAGTAGGTTTATGACCATGAAGACACTTCACTTCTCAGTTACTTCATCCGTAAAATGATGATGATGATGACAACAACAATGATGAAGAGGATCATGATAAAATAACGATGATGAAAAAAAGACAGTAACTACTCATCTCACAGGATTGTGAGAAAACAGCTTTATGAACCTGAAAGAACTACAGAAATAAGTTTTGTTGTTTTTATTGAACTGAAACCACTTCCTGAATTGCCTTTTCCTACAGCTCTTGACAGATTATTGTTGTCATTTGTAGAATTGACTGTCATGAGACATCATGACAATGTTTTAACAGGAAGGGACTGGTATTAAAAAAAAGTACAGGAATTCCTCACTTCTCATTCCCACTGCTTTCCCTTACACAGATTTCATACTTAAGCCAATCTCTGTGCTTTGCTCATGATGTCCCCTCCATCTGGAATGCCCTATCTGATTCCTTATGCTGATTCTGAATTCTACCCATTCTTCAGGGCCCATTCCAGGACTACTCCAGTCCAAGATAATTTTTGCACCTCAGAATCTGCACATACCACTGTGTTATTATCTTTTAGTTTCCTGTACATAATTCTCACCTCCCCAACTAGACAAGAGAACCATATCTCCTTCTCTTGTCTCCCCCACATCACTGGATATATAGTGTGTATGTGTTTGTAAAGACTGATTGGTTACTTTCTGAGGGCAAGAACATTTGCTCTTCCAACACCTGGTATAAAGCCTCACACATAGTAGGTGCTTAGTAAAAGTAGGCACTTAGTAAAAGGCTCCTCACTGCTGCAAG